TCTTTGTTGATTCTTTGGAAACTTCACATTATGCACCTTGGGGCAGAATTTTTAAAAACCTATATTTGTATAGTTTAAATATGTATGAGTTTAAATATTTAAAGCATAGAGTATGTATATTAAAATGCACTCTTAAGTTCTAAAACTAAATAAAAGCCAAAGGAGAACAGAGGAACAGGCAGGATGACAGCGTGTGGAATCTGAATCAGACAAGCAAGCGCCCGCATGCTCACATACACGCATGCTCACATACACGCATTACTGAGATTCCCCAGAATAAGATATGACTTCACGATACCATACAAAATATGACTTCAAGCATATAAGGAAGGTGAAATGTGAAGAACGGGATGAAATAGAGGAAGAAAGAAGTATAGATTGTCCTGTTCTTATTACACTAGTAAGTCCGAGAAAAGCCCTACACAGAGAGAAAACTGATGTCTCGAGGTCCTTACAAATTAAATAAGAGACGACCCTGTTTATGGATAGAAGGCAATGTCACGAGGGCAGTCAGTTATGGAGTCACCACAGGCTCAATCAAAATTCCAATATTTATTTATTTATTTTGAGACAGGGTTTCACTTTGTAGCTCTGGCAGGCCTGGAACTTGCCATGTTCCTTGAACTGGCCTTGAATTCACAAGAGATCTGCCTACCCCTGCCTCCCTGGTGCTGGAACCTACCCAAAGTCTTAAAGAAAAAAAAAAAAAGTAGATCGACAATCCGATTCTAACATGCACGAGATTCTAAATGACAAAGAAGAACCAAATCATTCCTTAAAGAAAACACTGCAGCTTATAAAGCTACATAATCCAAATAAAATGCGAGATTATTACACTGGCAGAAATGAGATCGGCGGAAGGAAAATCAAATATGCCTTTTGACTCGATAGGTGAGCAGGCAGTACCAAAATCCGTGTAGAGTGTAAGAAGAGCCAGCGCAGCACGAGCACTCGTGTGCGCAGCCCTGCAGGGTACAGCATGGCGTGCAAGCCTCCCCCTCCCCTCCCCCCCGCCCCTGCCCGCCCCTCTTCCCAAACAACTAATTGCAAAAACTATGAAAGGAAGCGTTTTCCAACTAGGAGTTCTGGGCACCTGCTACAAGGGGAGAGAAATTGAATTCCATATCTATGGAAAAGAAATGAGCTTTGTATGTATTAAAACCATAAAGAGCCAGGTGGTGGTGGTGCACGCTTTCAATCTCAGCACTGGAGAGGCAGAGCCAAATTCTTGTGAGTTTGACGCCAGCCTGGTCTACCCAGTGAGTTCCAGGACAGAAGCCCTGTCTCAAAAAAAAAAAAAAAAAAAAAAAAAACAGCAAAAAAACCCATAACGAAAAGACCATAAGACTTGAAAGGTCAATCAGGAGAATAGCATCTTGATGATTTATTAGTCGAGACACAGGAAGAATATATATTGCTAAGAAAACCAACACCAGAATTAGAAGACGACCTGCTGGCCTTTGCAGTTCGTATCATGAGTGACTGGAGGCCCCCATCAAGAATACATAAACAACAAATTGCTAATAGACAACTGTCATGATTTGGATCTTAAATGTCCTCCCTGAGGTCATGTGTTGTCGGTGGCAGCTGGGAAATGGTAGACCCTTTAGGACTTAATGGTCTTGTGGTAGGGAAATGATCCTGACCCCATGGGACGCTACCTCCCACGCCCTGCTCCTTCCTTTCTGCTTCGCAGTCACCAGGAGGAGGGCATCTTTGCTCTGCCATATACTCATCATCACAATGTCTCAGACCAAAGCAGTGGGGTCACTCAGGCCTGCACCGAACCCTCTGGAGCTGTGCAGGACCACTCAGAGCACACATGGAAATCTCAGGAGCCGTGCAGCCCAAAGCCTCTCCCCTTACAGCTACTATTTCAGGTGTCCTCGTCAGTTACAGACACCTGACACAGCAACGGTACATCGGTGAGCAAAGGACTTCGGGAACACCCGCATTGAAAAACAGGGACCCGAATGAAACCCATCACAAGATCCTTCTACAAGCACCCATCATGTTGGTTGTAAGGAATGCCCACTTCGAGGTCTAGAAACGCCAGAGAAAATGGTGTCCGATAACAACCCGAGTAGCTCTACCAAGGAGGAGACTGGAGGGTTGTCGGTATGTTCCTTCATGAACTGGAAACTCCTTCATTTCCCAGCAGTGAAGCGAACAAGATGCAGGTACGTGGGTGATTATGGATGATATGATAGGTAAATACGAAGGAAAACCTACAGGCTCCGATAACACGATCCCATTCATTCAAAGTTCAAAAGCAGGCGGCCCCAAACTACATGGTGCAGATGTCCACATGCAGGTGGTAAGGCTTACGAAGCTAGGAAAGGGTGCTCCACGTGGTGCATGCTAGATCTCAGCCCCCCAGGAATCAGGACAAACCCCGGGCAGCTGACCGGCCCCTGATGTGAACCTTGTTAGCAGTGCATGCTGGTCTGGGGAGGGAGGAGTGGATAGAAGCAAGCCCAGCCCCTCCCCCTCACAGCTCCAAGAAGGTTAAGCCAGACTAAATCATGTGGTGTGGAACCCCTCAAAAACCTATGAAGGCCAGGAGCTCTCCTTTGTGCAAAGGAGTTCTCTGAATGCTCCCTCTTTCCTTCAGGCCCCCATCACGCACATGGCAACTAATTCTCTTAACTCTCTCATTTTAAGCCATCTTGCCCCATGAAACTCCTCTCCGGGCATTACCTTTCCTAATGCTCTCCCACCTCAAGGCCAGATCATAGCAACCCACGGTCACAAGGCTCTCTCTCCTAATCTCATTCTGAAGGGCAATTTTGTGTTAGCTTCATTCTCTATGAACCAACTGAACAAGGTATCTGTTATAAGGGGACAGTGGTGCCACTGATGGGGGCGGGTGTGTATGTGATGGGAACTGGCACCTAGACAGTCATATGGTGGTGTTTTTCCTCTGTGTGTGTGTGTGTGTGTGTGTGTGTGTATGAGACAGGGTCTCACTATGTAGCCCTGGCTGGCCTCAAACTCAGAGGCCTCTCTTACTTCCTAGCACTGAGAATAAAGGTGTGTGTCAAAACCAGCCTATATGGTATTTTTTTCCCCCTTTGTTCTTACAGATGCCTGTTTTGAATCTGTTGAACTGTATATCTTTTGTGTGCCATACTTCATGACATAAAAGACACGTGTACCAAGGTAAACAGCAGACTGCTACGGTAGTCCATTGAATATTACACCGTGTAGAGGCTCTGCCCAACACTTTCCTGTCTCCAGGACTTGACTAGATCCTGGCCCTTGCAGACAGCTGCTCCTAGTTTTCATTCTCCCTGTCTTATCCTCAGCCTCCCTGAGCTTCCACCACTGCAGTGTTCCTGTGGGCCTGGGAGGCCTTTCTTCTGTCTTCATCTCATCTTTGCCTATAAGATGCAGTTATCCCTGGAGAAATCCCTACCCCGCCCCCATGCACATACACACGCATGCACGCATACACACTGAGGTCCATGACATGGTTAGTGTTGATTATCAACTTGACAGGCTCTGGAATAACATAGGAGACAAGCCTCTAGGCAGCTGTGGGGGATTGTTTAGATGGCGTTAGTCTGTGGGCATGCCTGTGGAGAATGCATTTGATTAGGCTCATGCAGGAAGAGCCACCCGATAGTGGGATCAGGTCCTGGACTGTACAGAAGGGAGCAAGCCAGCACAGACACGTTCACCATTCTTTGCTTCCTGACTGTGGATGCAATTTGACCAGCTGTCTGAAGCCCTGCCATGATAGACTCTACTCTCAAACCGTGTACCCAAAGAAACCTTCTCTTCCTTGAGCTTTGTCTTTGTTGTTAGGATTTTATTATATCAATAAATAGCTAAGTCGCTTTCTTCACCCCTGAACTACCCAGTGCAGGCCACAGGTTATTGTGTGTCTTTCCCCCTCTAGGCAGGACATTGCTGTTTTGGAGTAGAAATTACCTTGGCTCCGAGGGCCATGTCAACTAATTTGAGCACGAATACAGTGATGGCAAGGGCCACAGTAATGGTACCTATAACTCCCTGGGACGAGGGAGGAGAGGAGGGGAGGGTCATGGAACCCTCACTTGGAATTGTAGCAATCCTTTCTCGTGCTCTGCCCTAGTGTGAGTGACTATGGCCCATGCTAGAACATAATACAAATTGAGTTAACTGTAAGAGGGACACAGCTCCCATAAATTCTTCATCTGCAATGGTGTGGAATTCTGAATCGGTGTAGCTGTTTGGGGGCCACTTACCATGCTGTAAGTAACCTTACACCTCTGCTCTGTTCATAAGCCCAATAAACTCATTCACCAGGTTGGACTTTGGTGGAATGGTTACTTTAGTCTGTCACTGGTGCCCTGTCCCAGGTGAACAGGCATTTGTTCACATCTCCCCAGGAAAAGTTAATGCAACAGCCCACTTTATAGTGCCTGCCTTCGGCCATGTGCTATTAGAAAACTGTGGACAAGACTTTCATTGAACAAAAGGGATGTTTTGTTTTAAGCCCCTTCAAGCCTAACATCTTGGGCGGTGGCTTTAAGTCCAGGTGAATAATTCCTGTGAAAACACAGGGCTTTAGGGGGTGCTGTGTCTGCATGATGGGCTTCATGGGAGCCCAAAAAGGCTCTGTGCTTGCCAGTTCCCCAGAGTCCCTCTGGGGTTGTGTGGTGGAGGGAGGGCCTTTGTGTGGGTGGATGTCCCACCCTCTTCCTATGAGCAGGGTCCTTTGGGAATGTGAGCCATGCTCTTTAGTGGGTGAATTGTCAGCAAGCCTGGGCTGCAAGGTCAGGTGAACAACAGGAGATTAAGCTCCACACACACCCCTCCCCCACCCCCCAGCAGCACTGAGGCAACAGAGGTTGGAGGCAGGATGCTCTCCAGGCTTCCTGTGTTCTCAGGCAAGGCTGCCGTCAGCGCTTTCAAGAGCATTTTCAACAAGAGCCTGAAGAATACCGATGAGCTTGCCCCCAGCATTCCCAAAGGTTCCTACTGGAACTGGGCGGGGTGGGGGGGGTAAGGGGGAGAGGAGGCTCCCTCCTGATTCTTTAGACCTTCACAATTGGTCCCCTGTTCGTGGACTCGTGAGTGCCATTAGTTTTGACTCTTGAGTCATGAAAATCAGGGCTTTGTCTGTCAGTGGACAATGGCATTAAAAGGAATCGGGGCCCTTCAGAGAATATGCTATTTTCTTGGGTTGAGGTAGAGAAATGACTTGGTGTCCCTACACATCCCAAAGATGACAGAGAGGCCGTTTGAATGATTCGTCCATTCGGAGCAGTCATAGCTGGTGAATGCTCACTTGGGAGACCCAGAAGGAACTGGGATGGTTGAGGAAACATGCCTGCAGTCTTATTCTCAGAAGTGAGGTAGTGGGGGCTGAGGAAAAGAGATCAGTTGTGGAGGAAGAGCTTCGAAGATGAGGGGTCAGGAGGCAGGCAGATCAGAGGTAAAGGGGCTAAATAAGAGTGGACTCGCTAACCTGAGAGACAGGAGAAGCAGACTCTGACAGAGGCGGAAGGTGGCCAGTCAGCGTGGCAGACGGGGACCCAGTGAGAACCAAAAGTCCTGGCCTGGAGACTGGGGAAATCGAAGGACAGAAGAGCGCCGTTAACTCTTCAAAAGATTTGGGATTTGTTTGGTAGGATGGCAGGGGATTGCTTGGAACCCCAAGGCCATAGCTTTTTAAAAATGTATGGATTATGTCTTGAGGAAGCCCCTACAGAGACATCTTGAGAGGGTAGCAGACCTTTTGAGGGAGGAGCTTGGTTTGCGTGACCAATGGTTGCCACCTCCTGGGGGAAGACCAGAGCCTGAGACCAAGCAGGATTGATTGGTTTTGCTGTCTGTCACCATGGGAGACTCCAGGAGACAAAATCTAGAGGAATATGTCCTAAAAGGCAAGCGCTTGGGTTGGCAAGCAAGGAGGGAGTGAGAACAGGGAAAACATTGAGATCACCAGTTGTGGCCTGGCCTGTGGGATAAAGAGGCCAAGACTTTTTCTGCCAGGGGCAGAAGTGGAGCTGAGTCATTCTGGAGTGACATTGCTCAAGCCTGGGAAGTCTGAGGAAGCACACGTGGAGATACGTCCTCAGGCACTGAGAACTGTGCTGCTGCAGCAACAACGACTCCAAAGGCCAGGACTATCCCAAGTGGACAACAGCCAGTGTCCAGGGCCCATGCCCCAGAAACCGTGGTGAGCCTCCTAGACTGGAGGAGAATTTCTCAGGGTTGAAGACACCTGGTGCGCAGGTGTGTAGAGGGGTGGGGGTGGGGGTGGAAGTGTGAGATTTCAAACATTTTGGTTACCGTTGATACAGCTGTCCCCAGGGCAGCCCCAGGAATGACAGGAGTGACACAGAGCCCTCAGAGAGGGGAAGAGAGACACACAGTGGAAGTTGCTCAGTCGAGTCTGGGCCATGTCCCCTCTTCCCTATTGACTTTCCTCCATCAGCTAAATGACCAGAGCACTTGTGCTGAGAGGTCTGGGGACATCAGAAAAAGGTACGTAGGGATGGGACTCTGGAGCTGTCCAGCAAGCAGCTGCAGACTATTGGAAGGGTTTCCCTGTGGTGAGTGTGAGGAGTCTGAGGCTGTCCGGCTGGCTCACCCTCCTACTTCTGTAGAGCACATAATAGCCTTACTGAAATGTTGAGATGTGGACGGAGGAACCCCCACAGTGCAGGAGTAACCCAATAGCTGTTCCACTGCCCAGGGGCCAGCAAGGGAGCAGAGGGGTACCCCCGTTCTTTAACAGACCTCTGGGCTCTTTTTCAATGTCTAAGTAGACCTTCCACTTTAGTTTCCTGTGTGGAGTCTAAGTTTTCAGAAAGAGACATGACAGCAGAAGAGGTGGGGTACTTGGGGAAGAGGAGGAGACCAACGTGAGGTGAGGTGAGAGAGGGTCGGTGGTTATGAACAAGTACATTAGACACATGTATGAAAATGTCACAACAAAACCCATTACTTTGTATAATCCATAGTTTGCTCATATATATCATTTCGCTTTTCATTTCTTTGGACTTTAACCTATAATTTTTTTCACCTGAATTTCAGCCTGAGAAATTTATAATGAGAGAGGACACATTTATGGTGACTCTTTTTATTGTGGTAATTAGTGATTTCCTATCTTTGTAGAACTCTGAGCCAAATTTAGACTTTGAGGTTGGACCTGAGTTAGGGGCATCAAACAAGGAAGAGATTTTCAGTTTGTGGTTCAATGTGCTCTAACCTATCCCAAGGCTGGGTGGGAAGAATCTAAACTTCTTAGGGAACCCTAGCAGGAGCCAGTTGTATGGGGTTAGCCTCCTCTCTGTGGGGAAGAGTTGGGACTGCCCAGAAAACTTTTCAGTTCTTATACTTTTCAGTGGCCCCAACTTTGCTCAGCAACTCACACCGATGTGTAGTGGACAGTGTCAGTTTAGGGCTTCTGGGTCCTATCTTGGCGATCCAGCCCACATGCCTATGTGGGTACCTAGTGGTACCTTCTTCTCCACTTTGGGCTGAAGCACAGCAAGGGATCCAGCTTGTGAAGGCCTCTGTCATCCTAGGCCGCTCACAAATTCTTAGAGCTCCTTAGCAGGTCTTCCTGGGGGAGCACTGAGGCTACTGCCTGGCACTGTTTTGCCCCCCCTTAGCAGTGCTCCCACTATCTCCCTGCCCCCATGGTCCCCAAGTATTGCACTCAGCTGGGATTTCACCTCCCCTGATTTCTGCAGGCCGGAACCTGGAATCCCTGATACCCATTTTCTCTTCTGGATACAAACCCTAAACTATCACCAGGAAACCATTTTAAAGTGTCCACTGCCTGTCCATTCTGGAAGAAGAAGAATATGTTCTGATAGTGAAGGCAATGGAAAACAAGAAACAAGAAGGGGAATGAAAAAGCTAGCACCAGCTATCATCAACCCCTGCCTAGGTCTCCCCATCATCCAGCTATTTGTGAGCCTGTAACCCAGCAACTAGCCTTACAGGAAGCAGCACACTAGCTGAAACTCTCTGTGGAGGAGGACTCTTTGCTCATCCCTGCCAACTTCCCTGTCAGTTTTTGACGATCTTTGCTGGGGGTGACTTCTGGATCCTGCTTTTGCTGGTTCTCTGCCCAGTGGTCCTCAGAAAAGGCAGGCTGGGTCAGAAACAGAACAGCTAGCCCTTTAACCTTCCAGGTACCTAACCATTGAGCTCACTCCTAAGCTGGTCTCCACAGATGCATGAGGCTGCATGGGCCAGGATGCTCCATTTATTTAAGGGTCAGCACCGAGTAATGGCTAAGACCATGTCCCCCAACACAAGCAAGGGCTGGGCCCAGCTGTGCTTTGACCACCAGAGTCATAAGGTATTGCCCACCTGAATGGCCTTCCCTAATCTCCTGGCACTGTCCTCAGACTTGTACGTCATGTTGGTGTACCCTCATAACCACTTTGAGAGGTAGGGATTAGTAGCCCTACTTTTATAAAGGTGAAATTGGGGCCCAGTAGTAAACAGGAGGCCTCTCATAGCAAGGGAAGGGCAGGGCCAACTTTCACCACAGTAGCAGGCACAAGGCAAGGAGAGAAGCATGGACCAAGCAGGGTCTACCACCCGCCCCAGAGAGTTGAGTGCCCTTCTCCTACTTCTCTTTGCTCTCCACTCTTCTACTCGTAGGCTCTCCCTTCCTGATGGCATCCCTTTTAGACTTTTGGATAGAATGTCCAGCAGCTTTCTGAAACAACGCTATACAAAGCCATGTTTTAAGACATGGCACTGTAGCAGCTTGCATGGGTGCTGCAAGGCATTTCTGGCTTCCATCCCTCGCCCTTCCAAGGACTGTCTCTGTGGCCCCTGGTTGACTAGCTCTATATGTTCATGAGAGGGTGGGACAGCTTAGTCAGAAGAGCCTTGCTCATGTCAAGGGGGTGTGTGTGTGTGTGTGTGTGTGTGTGTGTGTGTGTGTAGGTGCCAGTGAGGTTGGGTGGAGTGGGAAGAGGCATGTGTGTGTAAACAGTGTGTTAGCCAGAATTACCAGTAAGCCAGCCTCACACTGTTCAGAGGCTTATGGATTCTGATGCAGCTACACTGATGCACTGATGCAGCTACCCACAAGAAGGGCCGGTCTTTAGCCAAAGTGACTAGAGTTTCCAGGCCCCCATTTGCCTTGGGAGGAAGGAGTCTTAGCAATGCTCTGCTATGTCCTTTTGGAGCAGTTGCAGGTGTATTTTGACAAGTTATTTGTGGCCTGCTGTCTCTTTCCACTGTAAATTCTCAGTCATTCATCCCCTGTCCTGTTAGATTGGCTGTAGGAGAAGGAAAAACTGAGGCATCATTTTGTGTGGGATTAGTGGGACATCTCTGTAGTTTGAAGTCATCTGTCTTCTTACTTCTTATGGATCATAATCTTCCAGTCACACATGAGGGAACTGAGGCCAAGGCCAACGCTGAGGTGACAGACAGTATTGAAGGTGACACAGCATGACATCTATGGACTTTGAAGTCATCTTATGAAATTACTGGACTTCCCTACTTGCATAAAGAGCTTCAAGGACACACCTACTATAGAGGAAAAAACCACAACTGTCTCTCTGTGCTATAGGAAATACTACAATATCCCTGACACAGTCAACTTCCCCCACCAACAAAGAGGAATATTTTAAAGGAATATCCGAAGTCTATCTGGCATTTTATAGAAGTGTCAGATTTCTTTTTCCTCCCTGGACTTTTTCAGCTTTTTAAAATATGTAGTTTCTAAGCCTGTAGGGAAAGATTGTTCTCGACGTTGAGTGTTTTGCTTTTTCTCTTCAGCTGCATTTTCACTCAGGAGTCTCCCCACCACCACCACCACCACCGGCTTAGCCCCAAACATTGATGGCTCTGTCCTCCAGCCACGCTATGCGCTGCTTTCTATAAAGGCTATCTACTTCACTACATTTCAACTGTTAAAATGACGTGTCTTTTCCGGAGCTTACTATGAATCATAACCCTCCAGTCACACATGAGGAAATGAAGACCATTGCCGAGGGTGCCAGTATTGAAGGTGACACAGCATGACATGAGATGATGTGCTTGTTAAGGGCATTCTAATTGGTGACAAAAAAAAAAATGCACCAAAATGCCTTGGTTCATATGGCTTCATTAAGGACCCTCCCGGCTCTGTTCAAGCAAGAAAGAGCTGAAATGACCTGCCTGAGATCACTCAACTAGTAAGTGACAGACCCTTGCTTCAAATCTAGGAGCATGGATTAAAGGGACTTTGGCAAGTAGAGGGTATTGAGACCAGCACCCCCTCAAGTTGATGAATCCCTCGTGGCAAATGGAGAAGGAGGAGGAGGAGGAGGAGGAAGAGGAGGAGGAGGAGATGGTAGCGGCAGGCTGTGACCACAAGTTGCCTTCAAACCACTTCTCTTCACAGTGGTTCTCAAAACCCGGTGAGTGGGAACTGATCCCCAAATCAGATACTAAACCGCTCTCAGTATGTCACTAGGTCTCTGAAATGACCCTGGGAAGGGAATGACTGATTATTTGGGGTAACAAAGCAACCTTAGAAAACTTTAGGAGCTCAGTGACTTCTCTATTAGGGTGTTCCCAGCAGGAGACATTCACCTAACTGCACGGCTGGTTCACCAAGGTGCCCTGATAAAAGATGTACAAAGCATGAGCATCAAGATGGGGAGGGGGTGTCCAAGTCCCATAGTGGCATCGGGGTGCTTCCAACGGATCCAAGGGCACACTTAAAAGCCCCTGTGTAGTTGGTTCTAGACTGGGCCTCAGTGGTGGCTTTCACCTCTCATTGGCATCTGGCCAGCTTTTCCCTCCTTCCCAGAGGTAAATCCCACAGCTAGAGTTGAATTTCAGTGTGATTGTTAAGAGGAAGGTCCAAACACCACAAAGAGAAACCAGCCACGAGAGAAACCCCCACCCCCCCCGACTTCCCGCTGCTTCAGAGCTGGATCCTTGATTTCGGTTCTAAGAACTTTTCAGTTAGCCGGTTTTCGCCGCCAACCCCCTTTCTGCTCTTTCCGGATCCTGTCATGCACATAAAAAAAAAAAACATTGGGCTGCCAAAAACACTGTTTACTGGGCTGGGAGAGGAGGGCGAGCACTGTTTAAGCTTTGCCAATGTTTCCCCAATCTCTGCTTCTCCTCCTACCTCCCCATCCCTTTTCCCATTTCCAGCGATTCTGCATAGTTCCCTTGAAAGGACCAGCCTGAGCCCAGGCTCCCAAGAACAGTCGGAGATGCAGGCTCAGCTGGAGTCCTTCATCCTCAGCCTTCTCTCCCTCCCTCTGCTCCCACTTTTCCCTAAGCAACGCTCCCAACCCAGGATGCTGAGGCCGCTGGAGGTTGTGGCCGCTAGTTTACCGCCCCTAACCGACGGTCCCACGCCCGTTGCCCACGTGAGCAGTTGCCAAGGCAACTAGCATGTAGACCCTCCTTCCTGCAGTGCGGGGTGAGGCTGGCCACCTTCGAAATTGCGGCCTCCCAGCACGCTTTGCGTGGTGGACTCTAGGAGGAAGGCGGAGAACGTTGCAGTTCCCAGGATGCCCCTCGCGGGGTGGTCCTCTCACCGAGTCCCTCGTGGTGTGTTTGGGATATTGGAGTTTAGCATTGGACAAATGTTCGCAATTCTTGTAGCTGGTTTTCATGGTTTGTGTTTGCACTGGTCTCTGAGGTGCATCCATGCGATGGGAGATGAAGTTGGCCCAGTGTTCAAACACGCGACAGCAGTTTGCACTCTGTTGTAATGAGCATTCAGAGTATATCTATCTAATGCTTTAACTCTGTGAAGATTGTAATGCCTTATTACGCATGCCAGGCAGATACACCTACATCACAGCTCCTGCATCTATGACTCAGGGAACATCACAGAAGAGGGCAGAAAGATTGAAAGAGCCAGAATGCCAGGAAGTCTGATGTGAAACAGTGTCTCCTAGAAATGGCAACATCACTGAACATGTTAATGTTGAAGGGGTTAAGTTCCTCGGGTGCCACCACTAGACAAGGAACTGTAGGCAACCATCGACTGCTGGGAGAAGAATTAGCCTCTCCCAGGGGTGAGCTCCCTTACTGGTTGTCCAATGCAGACTTGGCAGCCTGGGAAATTTGTGCACACAGAAAACAAAATAGAGCTAGCAGGTTTATCCATATTTGTGCACACAAATAAACATATGTGAAATTATAGCTCTTTTTTTAAAAAATGATTTTATTATGTATACAATATTCTGCTTCCATGTATATCTGTATAGAGGCTCTTAACCTCTGAGCCATCTCTCCAGCCCAAAATTATAGCTTTTAATTAGCTAATACAGCAGTTGGTTCCCATACAGGCTTTCCATATAGCCTTAGTTTTGGTTAACCCAAGCACACACTCTCCTCACCTCTTTCCTCTTACTCCATAGTCTTAACCCCCAGCATCCCGTGCTCCTGACGGTGGTCACTTCTGATTCACTTCCTCCTCACCCCTTAAGATCTCTTCCTTGCCTTCTTATAAAGGGCTCTTTCGGCCCTAAAACACAGATCTAAAAATCCAAAGCTATGCCCCACATAGGAGATACAGATATAGGAAGTGAAAATTCAAGGCACTTGTTCTGTACTAACAGAATTACTTACGTTTTGCTTTTTTTTTTTAAGATTTATTTATTATGTATACAGTATTCGTCTGCATGTGTGCCTGAAGGCCAGAAGAGGGTACCAGATCTCCTTACAGATGGTTGTGAACCACCATGTGGTTGCTGGGAATTGAACTCAGGACCCCTGGAAGAGCAGTCAGTGCTCTTAACTTCCCATCCATCTCTCCAGCCCCAGAATTACTTATGTTTGATGAATAGACACTTGGACAATTCTTTGGATTTCACTGGCTTGCAGTTGAGAGTGTGCTATTAATGGGTAGTAAGAGTGTCAAGCCTTGTGTGATGGGGAATGTACTGTGTATGTTTATCTTATTGATTGTTAAATAAAATACTGTTTGGCCAATGAGACAGCAAGTAGATGGGACTAGGAGTTAAAGAGGATTCTGGGATATATAGTAGAGAAGTGGTGATCCAGGCAGGAAGTGACATAGCAAGGAGACTCATATTTAAGTGAAGGAGAAACGGGAAGGGTCCCTCTTTTCCCCTCCGCTCCTGCTCCAGCAGCACGATGTGATCCACTGGCAAGGAGGGATGCCAATAAGGCGTCCGATAAGATAAGTCTTATATGATAGTTAAGACTGAGCTAAAAGATGAGAATCCTAGTCATTGGCCAAGCAGCATTATACCTAATACAAGTTTCTGTGTATTCATTTGGGCCTAACCTGGGCGGGCAGCTGGCGTAAAGCTCACACGTGGCGGTGGGGCTTGGGCAGCTTTTGGCGGAAAGATTTATCGTAACACTTGTGCTATTGCATTATTAGTGAAAGAAATTCTTTCTCTGTGTAGCCTTGGCTGCCCTAGAACTTGCTCTCTAATCTCTGTACTTGGGAGACTGAGGCAGGAAGACAACTGTGAATCTGAGTCTAACCTTAGGCTATATAGAATGCCCCTGTCATATAACAACAACAACGCCAAAATAAAAAAACCCAAAGCAAAATTGGCAAGATGGCTCCATGAGTAAACCATGTTTCCCGTGTATATGTACAAGTCTAACAACCTGAGTTCAGTCCCTGGAACTCACAGTGGAAATGTGTCCTCCACATGTGTGCAGTGGCACACCCACACAAGTCATACACACATACACAATAGTAAAAACATCAAAGCCCCCCAAATAGCAAAACCCAGTTGGAGCCCCCTCTCATTGGGCTATCTCCAAGGGTTCTCAGGAGATGCTGCTCTTTCTTTGCTGCCACTAAAGAAAACTGAAGAACAATTTCAGGAAGATAAGCCCTGCCCTCTCCTGTCCTGCCCTGCCCTTCCCTCCCCTGTTCTCCTCTCTTCTCTTTTTCTCTTCTCATCCAGAAATATGAGCCAGCTCCCCCTCCCTGATTCATATGAATCTTCATATACACAGAACATGGGTGTGCCAGCATGACCGTAGAGGGTTCTATCCTACTGTCCATACTGTGGTCGTTCAGATTTGTATGACTCTGTGTTTTTATACTTGGCACGTGCTTTCCTACTGAGTTACACCCCTACCCCTCTCAAGTTTGAAGAGTAGGGGGAGCCACCAGCACACTGAGGTATTTTCTTTTGTCCCCGACCAACATTTCCTCACGAGCACAGAACTCAGGGTGTGCAGCTTCTCCAGGTTTCTGCCTCATTCACCAGAAGCCACAGATCCCTCGGCAGGGATATAAAAGCTACCTCCTGATGATAATCAAGTCCCATCATGTATATGTTGGTTCAGCTCTTTCAAGTCTTTAACCCCATCTCTGTCCCTGAATGTGTGCTCCCTTTTAACAGATGCTTTTCATCTCTGTGCTGCCCAGAGGACTGAGATGTCTTTCATAGTGCCACAGTCTCCATGAATAGGTGTTTTCTGTTCATTGTCTTTTGTGTTTACTACAACAAGTGTGTGCTATGATGTGAATTCAGTGGTTTTCCTGTGCTAAGGGTGTGCTGGATCACTGAGCTCCTCCCCCACCCACACACACACACACACACACACACACACACACACACACACACCCTGCCCATGGTCAATATTTGGGTATTATAAACCTGGTGTCCTTTTTCCTGGGACAGCTGTTCCCTGTTTCGACTTTGCATGCTCATTCTCAATGGCTCTTTGCCAGCACTTTGTTGCCACAGCCCCGTGTCAGCATATTTCAGGACCGTGCTCTCTGGAACTCATTCATTCCCACCACTTCAGCAAATTAATCGTGTTACTTGTTTGCCCTTTATGGCACTGCACACACTTGGCTTCTTTACTGTTTGGTTAGGGTTTTTTGTTTGTTCGTTTGCTTGTTTCTTGTGGTGTGGAGTGTTGAACCCAGGGCTAGGTTCACCAATGCTAGGCAAATGCCGTGTCATGGAACCACACAGTAGCTACTGATTTCCTTTCGTTCTGTTTTTAAGATAGGGTCTCACTAGGTAGCCCAGGCCTTGTGATCTTCTTGCCTCAGCCTCCATAATGCTGGGATTATGGGCTTGTATGGAGGCTCTTAAAATTTAGACTTCAGTTCCTGTCCTTAGTTTTTTTTTGTCACTTTTTTCTTTTCTTCCCCAGATGCCCTGACTACCAACCCCTGCTCTCTCCATTTGAAAGTTTCTATCTCCAAAATTCTCCAAAATTCTCCCCGCTCATAGCCTCAACTCCACCTCTCCTCATTCTTTCTCTTCTCCTGGAACTTGAATTAGGCAGAAGTTAGACCCCCCTCTATATGTCTGTCTCTGCCTTTCTCTTCTCATAGTTTAGATTTCTCTCCCCCTGTGTACGCTACATTCTGGATAGTTTCTTTAGATCTATCTTTTACTTCATTATCTCTGGTTTATATATATGTTTATTACATTTTTTCTTATTTCTGGAAGTTCTACTTTGTTTTTGTTTTGTTTTCAAATCTTCAACGTCTTTTTGAAATACTTGAAAGATACATCTTGGATGTAGGTTTCAGAGGGACACTGTATCATATGGAGTTTATTAGAAGAGCCATGACATTAATGGCTTCTTAATAATATTTTAAATTGTATTTATTTTTATGTGTATTTTGCCTGTATGTCTGTCAGGCACCAAGGACCCGGGATACCTTAGGTAGCCAGAAGAGGGCATCAGATTTTCTGGTCCTGGAGTTAAACCAGTATGTAGGCTCTGAATATCAAAGCCAGGTCCCGTCCTGTGGAAGAGCAGCAAGTGCCCTTAACCTGTGCTGTATCTCTCTACCCCTAAAAACTCTGTTCATGATACCTCCAACAGTCTGTCTCAATATCTGTTTTGAATCCGTATCTGAAACCTTGCAATATTTTTGTTTCTTGCTCATGTTTTTAGCGCCACACTTTGTATTTATATATATTCTACGTTTAAAAATTCTTGACACCATTGGGGTTTGATTTCTGCCTTTCGTCTTACTACTGATGCTTAGTTATCTGGCTTATTTTTTCCTGAAAATTGTGATACAGATATAAAGTCTTATGTGGCTGGCCAGTGCCATCTATAAACCCAGCCCTTTGAAAGTGAAGGCAGGCACATATGGATTCAAGGCAAGTTTGGGCAGCATGTTTCAACAAAACAGACTCAGACTTTATATAAACACCTGGAATCCTTTGAGGCCTGGTTAAAGGGCAGATGTGTAGAGATCCTTTTCAAAAGAATTTGTGTTGGCTTTTGTACAGTCTTCTGCAGTACCACCTCCAGCTCCCTGGCTCCAGTTAAAACCTAGAGCTTCCATAGGTCCTGTCATGTTAACCAGCAAATGTAGGGTTTGCTAAGTCATTAGGACAATGCACAATGAGAAAACTGTCTTTGCATTTTTGTGGTTATAACACAGTACCTGTGATAGAATTGATTCACAATGACTAGGTTTAATTTCACAGTCACCAGAGGTATGATCTCATTCTGTCAAAGAAAAACACAGCTTCTTAGACTTGGACTGGTGAGCATGTTAAAATCCGAATATTTTAAGGTCAGAGAACGGAAGTCTGAAGAAGAGACGACATGGAAAACAGGTGGTCCTTAGAGATGCCCCTTTGTAGTTTAAGAATGAAGTCGTATGCTAAAGACCACCTGTGGCCCTGTCACTTTCTGTTCTGCTGCTGTGATAAATACCACACTCAAAAGAAACTGAAGAAAGCTCATGTTGGCTTATGGTTGCAGAGGGTTTGAGTCCACAATGGTGAGGAAGGCGTGGTGGCAGCTGCTGAAGCAGAGAGCTGAGAAATCACTCCTCCAACCGAACACAGAAGGCAGATATTGAACTGGGTGAGGATATAAGCTTCCAAAGCCAGCCTCCAGTGACATACTTCCTCTGGCAAGATGCCGCATAGATTATGTAAGCCTGTCAAAACATGGACCATCAACTGGGGACCAAGTGTTCAAATACATGATCCCATGGGGGGCCATTTCTCACTCAAAATCGCCACACTGGCTGTAGGTATCTGACCAACAAGATGAAAGATGAAAACTAGTAATGGTCAGGAAGTAGGGTGGCAGAAATATGGGCAGGTTTTTTTTTTTTTTTTTTTTTTGTCAAGATTTACGGAAGAATTTAGTGGGGAAAATTAACCAGAAGAGAGGGAAAGAGTGAAGAGGGGACTGAGATAGCCAAACCAGTTCCTTGCCAGTGTTGGAGGGAACTCTAGAGACGGTAGCAAAGCAGGTGTCTGGGCCTGAAGAAGTAGGATCAGGCAGGGTGAAGGCTAGGGGATTTCAGGGGCCCGTCCATCCATGAGCCATATCTGACCCTGTAAGTGAGCGGGGCTGTTTAGCCTAGGGGAAGCCTGTGCATCACAACCAGAAACCGACAAGGTCAGGAAGCTTTTAGGGCCCCACCAAGTCAGAGGGCTACTTCATCTCCTTGGATGGACACAGACTTCTTGATTCACCTGCTCTTCTGACTGGAATTTGCACAAGTAAGGCCATAAGCCCTCCAAGGCATCAAAGGGGCTCCTCTGGGAACAGGTTTGTGTTTTTCAGAATTCTATTCCTCAAAAAACCAACACCAACTTATTAGAGAGAGCTAGCCAGAGAGAGAGAGAGAGAGAGAGAGAGAGAGAGAGAGAGAGAGAGAGGGATCTGGGTTTAAGTGGGTCAGGCGGTGGGGAAGGTGTTGAAGGGCCATTTGAGAGAGCCACACTTTGAGCCTGTTTCTTTGCCCCCACAATGCTCCTTTTCTCTGTGGCATCTTCTGCTCAGCCCAGCCTGCCATCAAATTCTGGAAATGTCACCACACGATATTCAAGCCCCCAGCCGTCTTTGAATTGCAAGTCAAAACTGTGAGGGTCAGTAAGCATGGTGCTGTAGTATTCCTGGCCCTTAGGAGATAAAACAGGGGGATCAGGAGTTCAAGGTCGCTCTGGGCTGAAGCCAACTTGGACTACATGAGACCCTGCCTCAAAAAAACCCAAACAACCAACCAAATCAATCAATCAATCAATCAAAAAATCCCCGAAAAGCCAGGCAGAGTGGGTCTCACCTGGAGTCCCAGCTATGCAAGAGGCTAAGACAGGAGAATCAATGGAGCCCAAGAGTATGAGACCAGCCTGGAAAATATAGCAAGACACCCAGTGTCCAAAAATAAGCAAATAAGGCCAGGCGGTGGTGGCGATCCCTTTAATCCCAGCATTCAGGAGGCAGAGGTAGGCAGATCTCTGTGAGTTGGAGACCAGCCTGGTCTACAAGAGCCAGTTCTAGGACAGCCTCCAAAGCTACAGAGAAACCCTGTCTCGAACACCTCCCCCCAATAAAAGAAGCAAATGAGAAAATGGAAATAAAACCTAGAGAAATATTCTGGTTCCCCATGTGGGCCACAGGCCACAGCTATCCTAAAAAATTCAGATAAAGTCAGTGATCAGTGAATCAGTGATGGATCATCACTGTAGAAAATGTCACCTGTGAGTCGGGCGGTGGTGGCTCATGCCTTTAACCCTAGCACTCAGGAGGCAGAGGCAGGCACTCTGTGAGTTTGACACCAGCCTGGTCTACAAGAGCTACTTCCAGGACAGCCTCCACAGAGAAACCTTGTCTCAAAAAAAAAAAAAAAAAAAAAAAAAAAAAGTCACCTGTGTGTGGTGTGTGTGTGTGTGTGGGGGTGTGTGTGTGTGTGTGGGGGTGTGTGTGTGTGTGTGGGGGTGTGTGTGTGTGTGTGTGTGTGTGTGTGTGTGTGTGTGAGAGAGTGCAAGCGCGCAAGCGTGCTATGACTACTCCCTCAGCTGCACAGCCTCCCAAATCTCATGTTGGGGGAGATGCAGTGTTCTCAGACGACCTGCCCTACTGAGGCAGCTGAGACAGATAAAACAGTTCTTCCTTAAGACTAGGTTCCAGCCGGGCGGTGGTGGTGCACGCCTTTAATTCCAGCACTGGGGAGGTAGAGGCAGGTGGATCTCTGTGAGTTCGAGACCAGCCTGGTCTACAAGAACTAGTAGGACAGGCTCCAAAGCCACAGAGAAACCTTGTCTGGAAAAACAAAACAAAACAAAAGACTAGCATCCTGCCACAAGCTTCACCCTTTGGAGGCGGATATTCCAGTGAGCAGCCTTTACGGGAAAGCAGAGTTTGGCTGTTTCCTGTCCGGTGACACTGAAGTCCTGGGCTGGATCTCTGGCTTCACGGCTCTACAGAGCAAAGCGCTGCCCTCTGCCTTAGTGAGCGCGCAATTCAGCCCTCCCCTTGGTGCAAAGTCCTCCAAAGCAGCGCCTCTCCCAAGATCCACGGCCTTCAGCTGTGCCGGAGGGGAAAGCAGCAGGCTTGGCCAGCTGAGCGTGGCTTGAACAACTATTAGCGGAATCGCCTACACTTTCTCCAGCACGCTTATTCGGTCGGTCCATCCATACCATCTGTGCCACTGCCGCCCGCCATGGTCTTGGAGCTCTACCTGGACCTGCTGTCGCAGCCCTGTCGCGCCATCTACATCTTCGCCAAGAAGAACGGCATTCCGTTCCAGATGCACACCGTAGAAATAATCAAAGGTTGGTCCAAGCCTGGTACCTGTCTACCCCTAGCCCACGGCCCGCCGTCATCGCATCACTCAGCGCCGTTCACCAGGGAATGCCCTCTTCCGCACTTAAGAGCCTTCTCCAAACTTGAATTCTGCTCTGACAAGGAAGATAGGGTGGTACTTTCTGCCCTGAGACGTAGGGGAGAAAAGGAAAGATTTGCAGTTCCTGCTTTGAAGGCCCGCGACGTTTAGATTCACAAAACACTGCAGACCTCGCGGGGAATAGACACACAGCTGAACCACCTCTGTGCAGCTGGTCCCGGGCCAGGCCTGGTCTTGGCCGCTTTGGCCTTGCTCTGGGAGGGGACTCTGATTGCACAGGGAAAGAGGAAATACAGAGGCACTGCCTGAGCCCTTGAACACATTTTCTGGCTTTTTTCCTTCCAGGGCAACACTTGAGCAAGCAATTCTCCGAGATGAACTGTCTGCGGACAGTTCCTGTCCTCAAAGACGGAAACTTCGTGTTGACCGAAAGGTGCAGCAATAAATAAACTCAGAGTCCATGCCACCCGCTCTTAATTCCTGCGGCCCCGGGGTGAGGTGGGGGGCAGGGCCCAGGCAGAGGCCCACCCCAGGCCCTGAGGGGGCGTGGCTAGAGCAGCCTGTCTGGGATTGAGGCTAGAATGACTCTGGGCTGATCCAGCACTCTCTTCCCAGTCTCTGCCATGTTTCTTCTGCTGAGGCCCCCACCCCTACCCCCGAGGCCTCCCCTGAGACTGCTGGGTATTGGAAGGCGACAAGGTGACATTTGTCCACAATTAGACAAAACAGAGACTCAATAACGGAGGCTAGAAGGAGTTTCTCCTGACTTCCCAGATGCCCCCTGACGAATCTGCAAGGCTTGGCCCAGAGACCAGGAGACTAGAGAAAGGGTCAGAGCTCCAGGTGCTGGCTGGTTCTCCCACTAGAGTGTAGTGACTAGAAGGAGGAGGTCTAGAGGTCTGTTGGGTGGGTCTAGAAATGATGGCTGCTGGACTTACTGGTAGAAACCGGAGGACATGGTTCTCCTTTGGCATGTTCTAGCCATTCCACAAAGGCATGCCTATCTCACACAGGTTTCAAGGCCCTAAGGATCTTTTTCTAAACTGAGCAATCTCAGTCTAGTCACCTGTTTTGAGAATTAGTTTCCTCCCATGAGAAAAGGATGGAGTCTGTACCTCGTACAGAGGCTGCTGGAGAACCATACAGATGAAGCCTCAAGAGGCAGAGAGCAGAAGATCTGGCCAGAGGCCAGTGTCCATGACATCAATGGAAGGGGGGAACTGGGGGACAGAACTCTTGCTGCCTGTGTGCCTGTCTGTGTGCCTGTCTGTGTGCCTGAGTGTCTCTCTGGTTTCCATGCACAGCATTGCAGAGAAGAAAGAAGGAGCAGAGACAGGGATAGGGGATGAGACTAGACTAGAAGGGACTATATTTCAAATGTGAAAATCCCCGAGGCCCCACTGAAGAATGGGAAAGAGCCAGGCTCCTCACAGCCCTTCTGTGCATGGTCCCCAGTTCAGCCATCCTGATTTACCTGAGCTCCAAGTACCAGGTGGCAGATCACTGGTACCCAGCTGACCTGCAGGCCCGTGCCCGAGTCCACGAGTACCTAGGCTGGCATGCTGATAGAATCCGTGGTACCTTCGGAGTGCTCCTGTGGGCCAAGGTGTGCATGGTTCTCTGGGGAGGGGTCAAGCCTTGGGGACCCAGTAACAGTCAAGGTTACATAGTGAGTACTTCTGATGTTCTGCCAGGTGTTAGGGCCACTCATTGGAACCCAGATTCCAGAGGAGAAGGTGGATCGGAACAGAAGGAGTATGGATAACTCTCTGTGTCGCCTGGAGGAAAAGTTCCTTGGGGACAGGGCCTTCCTTGCTGGTCAGCAGGTGACACTGGCTGATCTCATGTGTCTGGAGGAGTTGATACAGGTATGAGAACAGTGGGTGGAATAGTAGCTAAGGGCAGGACCCTTCTTCTTGCCACTTCCGTAAGTCAGAAGCACTGTGGCCTGGGAAAAGCCAGAATCACAGAGGGGACCCCTGAGTGACTTGTTTCCTGCCTGGGTGGGAGGCAGCTTCTGGCTCCTGTCAGATCCTGGATGGGTCACACTGCCCTCATTTCCGTTGGGGCTGTGTCCATGATGACTGTGCTGAGTTGCCTGCCATGGAGTCTCAATAACTCTCTCTCTTTCACCTTTTGTCCGTGCAGCCGGTGGCTATTGGCTACAATCTGTTTGAGGGAAGGCCACAACTGACAGCATGGCGAGAGCGGGTGGAGGCATTCTTGGGTACTGATCTGTGTGAGCAGGCTCATGGTGCCATCATGAGCATCCTGGAACAGGCAGCCAAGAAAACAATTCCAGAGCCACCCCCAGAAGCCCATCATATCATGCTGCTTCGAATTGCTAGGATTCCCTGAGTGGTCTGATTAGCAATAAATACTCATGCTGTTTCTTAGCTCTTTGTATCTTTTCTACTTGCCCCAATCCTTTTCTCCCCCCTTCCCTGGCTCTGGGATAAACTCTGCACAAAAGGGACACCAAGTATACCAGGCTTCTCTTGAGGTACAGTATACACAATCAATAAGAGGCCAAAATCGATGATGCTAAAAACCAGTAACACACACAAAAAAGAAACCATTCAATAGTTGCCATACCTCTGTATTGTATTATTTTAAAAAGTCTATTTTACTGAATAAAGAGTTATTGGTTTTATTACATTGTCCTATGATATGTATGGAATAAAATCATGTCTCAGTAAACTTGCCGGGGGGGGGGTAGAAAGGAAGGAGGAACAGAAAGGTAGGAAAGGGAGAAGGAAGGATGGGAAGGAAGGAAGAGAAAAAGAAAGAAAGCAAGGAAAAGTAGATAAAGAAGTTAAAAGCCTCTAAGTGCTTTGTAGGTCACAGGTAAGTTCTGGAGAGAGCACTAAGCAAATCTACCACTCTTAGGTCCAGCAGAATCCCAGGCTGCCTGACAAGAGGAAGGCAGGAAAGAATCTTCGAAGTGACCTCGAATTCTGACTTGTTCCCTAAATAGAGGAAAGATTGATGCTGGAGGGCTCTGCATCTGGTCTCCTGCCCCCTCATTTCCAGGAGCAGTAGCCACAGTCTCAGAACAACTCCCAGGGCTAAGAGGTGAAGGTGGAGTTGAAACCAGGTGAGAACTGGTGTGGGGGCATTGTGGTCCAGGTCTTCCCCCCTCCTCCCCACTGAAACACTTTCTCCCGGGGAGTGCGTGGGAGGCCTATAAGGCTCAGGAAACTCATAAAACTTAACCATATAAAGAGTTAAAGGCCCCTCCCTAAGGCTATAATAGTAGCAGACCCTGTAAGTGAGAGGATCAGCGTGTGGAGCTGCATACATGTTGTTTAGGGTGCTCAGTGGATGCAGCTTTTGTGTGTGGTCACTCATGCTGGGACAGGTTTTTCAGTAATGCCATGACCTTTGTGTGATCCAGGCTCCTGCAAGCACCCCCAGTTAACCCTTTCATCACCAAGGAAGACTCAGAGAATCATTTCTTTGGTCTGTCATCAGGGTTCTATCAGATTTGAACCGATAATCTGTCACATCTCCTCATGAAGTCAGTGGTTCACACTGTAGTGGGTGGGGACAGGAAAGGACAGGGCAATGTATGAAATATCCTTGATTTTGGCCCCTCAGAGGAGGAGGGAGGGCAGCATATGAGGGTCCTCAAGGCATTGTTAAGTCCAGTTCATTATTAATCATAAATACCAGAGAGTGATCCACTGGTCTCTGCTCCTGTCTGAAGGCCCATGCAGGCTGACACAGTAACTATGTCCTTAGCATTTTTTAAATGTCCTATGAGGATGTGTCTAGGGCAAAAGACATAACATCACAGGGGAAGGGTCCAGATTACATTCATCTTTCCATCACCTGTTGACAGGTGCTGGCTGTCTTCAAGGAGAGCTGGGCAGGCAGGCCACCATGATCACAAACTGGGGTCAGACAGCTAATCCCTGAGTCCTCTTGCAAGTCACTAGGTAACCCCAACTGAGCTCAGAGCAGCCATGCCAGCCTGCTTCACTCTTGCCATTCCTAGGCTGCCACTCAATGTCTTCCTGTCCCTGATAGCCAGCAGTAGCACCCCCGATCCGTCGTCTCAGATCTTGCAACTATTGCCTTCACGGGGCCTTTGCTAGTGTCTGAAGAATGGGAGGGCAACTGTGATGTGCTGGTGGCTTTTATATCACAGAACCTGTAGAAAGTTCTGTCTCCAGAAATCAGGTCACACTTCCACACAGCTCCCTCTGGAGTTGATTAATGACACAGGCTGTGACCTTGAAGCTAACCCTAGTTTGCTTTCTGTTGCCCTAATAAATACCATGACCGAAAGAAGCTCAGGGAGGAAAGGATTTGTTTCACCTTACAGCATCCAGAAAAGTCAGGGCAGGAACTCAAAGGCAGGGATCTGGAATCGAGCTGAAGCAGAGACCATGGAGGAACACTGCTTACTGTTTTGCCCCCTCATGGCTTGCTCAGTTTGCTCTCTTATATTACCCAGGACCCCTTGCCCAAGGGTAGAAGTGCCCACAGAGGATTACCCTCCCACATCCATCATAAATCAAGAAAATGACCCACAGACTTACTTGTGCGCAGGCCAATCTGAGTGAAGCATTTTCTCAGATGAGGTTCTGCCTTCCCAGGTGACTCTGGCTTGTGTCAAGTGGACCCCCCCAAAGAAAACCAATTTGTCTTAGTTAGGGTTTCTTTTTTTTATAGCAGTTCTTTTTATGCATGCCCCAAACCAAAACAACCTAAATATTATTCAAGTAGTAAAGAGATAAATAAATGATATACTCAAATAATTACTTGTTCCTCAACAAAAGGGATAGATGTTAATACATTTAATAACTTCAGTGATTCTCAGAGGCATTGTTCTGAGTGAAAAAAGTAATCTTTTTATGTATATATAAATATATATCTTTATATTTATATAAAAAGACCAATAAAGGCAGTATGTTATGCATCAATAGCAGTGGCAGCTTTTCCAGGTTTAGTTAGGGTTTCTATTGCTGTGCAGAGACACCATGGCCACGGCCACTCTCATAAAGGAAAACATTTCACTGGGGCTGGCTTACAGTTTCGGAGGTTCCGTCCATTATCGTCACAGGGGGAAGCATGGTGGCATGCAGGCAGACATGATGCTGGAGAAGCAGTGGCGAGGTCTACATTCACAACCACATTGACAGGCAGCAGGAAGAGAATGCCACACTGGGCACGGCTTGAGCATCTGAGACCTCAAAGCCCGCCCCCAGTGACACACTTCTTCCAACAAGGCCACACACCATCCTGGCTACTGAGTAGGTCTCCTTGGTAGGTATGATGGTGTTCATGGAACCAACATAAGAGAGGCCTTCATGCCTGCCTGCCAGCAGCCATGGGCTACAGCCTCTCCAAAGCTTGACCTCAGTTGGCTGTTAGGCCAATTGGAAGGTGATGCTGGGAGCTGAAATAGTCCAGGGAGTTCACAAGTTCACACTCTAGCCCCATAGGGAACCCACAGGGCTTGGCACAACCCTCCACTGGCATGGAAGCTGGTGCAGTGGCTTCTGGAGGTGTTCATCCAAGGGGAAGTAGCTTGCTTTCTGCCCTGCAAGATATTGCCTGCTACAGACATGTTCTGAACACTCTTCTGGTCCTTTGTCTCACGTTGTCCTGTGGAAGGGAGGACTAGAAAGACAGGACATCTTCCAAGATGTCATCATCAACTTGACAAGATCTAGAGTCTCCTAGGAGACATGTGTCTGGCCATGCCTGTGAGGGATTGTCTTGACTGGGTTCACTGAAGTGGGGAACGCACCTTAATGTGGGGAACACCATTATTTGGGCTTGGGTCCCAGAGTACAAGAAAATAAACGTGACTGGGCAGAAACATTCACCACTCTCTTGTTCCTGACTTTAGAAGCGATGTGACCGCCTGCCTCAAGACCCTTCCTCTATGGCTTTCCACCATGATAGACTACGAGACTAAGTAAATTTTTTCTTTCGTATCTTGTCTGGTCAAGTGTTTTATTGCAGGAAAGAGGAAATTAACTAATATAGCCATAAAGCCTAAAGCCACACTGTGGCCTCATCATGCACCTCTAGTGACCCTTTTCCACAGTTCCCAGGTGCACAGTGTGATCTGTGTTGCTTTGATCAAGACCAAGGAGTTTCTGGGCTCATGCATGGTACAGTCTGGTGGTTCACACTCTGAGCATCCTCAGCGTTGCCCCTTTGCTCCCTCAATCCCTCCAGTGTGTTAGCTTCCCATCACTATAACAAAATACCCTAGACAGTTAATTCATAAAGAAGAAAGGGAATCTGGAGAGACGGCTCAGCACATAAGGGTAAGTACTGCTCTTGCAGGGGAGCAGGGTTCAGTTCCTAACACCCGTGTTGGGCCGCTTACAACCACCTGTAACTCCAGCTCCTGGGGGTCCTATGCCCTCTTATGGATTCCATGGGCATCTTCACTCATACATGCACAAGCCTCCTCCCCCACATGTACACCATCTCAAAATAAAAATAAATGTTGAAGAAGAAAAAAAAAAAAAAACAGCGGAGCATTGGTGGCGCACGCCTTTAATCCCAGCACTTGGGAGGCAGAGGCAGGCGGCTCTCTGTGAGTTCGAGGCCAGCCTGGTCTCCAAGAGCTAGTTCCAGGACAGCTTCCAAAACCACAAAGAAACCCTGTCTCGGGGAAAAAAAAAAAAAAAAGCATTCTATATTATGTGTTTTGCCTGCATGTCTATCTGTGCACCACATGTGTGCCTGGTGCCTGCAGAGGCCAGAAGAGGACAATAGACATTGTGAAACTGGATTACAGATCATGGTGAGCCTCCATGTGGGTGCTGGGAATGGAACCCAGTTCCCCTGGAAGAGCAACTAATGCTTTTAACCACCAGGACATCTCTCCAGCCCTTAAACATTTTTAAAGGAAAATAGGCTGTGTTGGCTCAAAATTTTAAAGAGCTAGAGTCATGACTGGGAGGACCCATTGCTTTTAAGCCTTGTGTGTGTGTGTGTGTGTGTGTGTGTGGGTGTGGGTGGGTGTGGGTGTTAGATATGATGGGCAGTGCATGCGGCAAAGAGAAGTGTTGACCTCATGACCAGGAAAAAAAAAAAGAATGAAAAAAAAAAAAAAAGAAGAAAGAGGAGACTACAGTCCCCTTCAAGAAAATGTTCTCAATGAACCAAGGCCTTCTAGCAGGACTTATCTTTCTTTATTACCTTCAGTACTAGGGATGGAGCATGGGCTTCCTATATGCTACAACCTAAACACTCCACCTCTGGGCTATATGACCAGCTCTACAGGCCCCACCTTTTAAAGTTCCCGCTTCTATACCTTTAATGCATGGCCTTCAGAGGTCATTCAAAACCCAAGATACAGCACCCACCTCTTTCCAATCCTTTCCCAATCTCATTTCAGAGTAGATCCACACACACACCCGTA